ACATCCTCCATGACAGAAAGTCAGTCAGTGTAACTACTAAGCTCTTTGCCTAGGCGATATGTGTAGTTAGTCGGAACCGTACCTTTCACAACATCCTAGCACGATTGTGCAGTCTTTTCCAGTCTGGGTGTCGCAAAAAGTTTGTTGACAAACAACTGCAGAGTATGCATGGTGCCCGTCCATTTGCTGCGCTTGAGCTCACCAAGTCTCTTCCTCGTTCTTGCAACGGCATGTGGATCCTTGAACTGTTTGATAAGGATCTCCTCAAGTGTGGTTATTGGTGTGGCTTTGAGCCACTGCGTCATATTGATCTTGGTGTACCCGGCCTGCGTAGCTTGGACTTCTAAGAAGCCTCCTACGGCGGGTTCGACGTTGGTCCCCATGATCAAGGACTGGCCCAATGGTTGAGTTCCCAGCACCTCGAAGTAGGCTCTCATAGAGCTGATCCAGGACGCTACGTCTTCCTTGTCGATGTACTTGGACGGTATCGGAACCGCCTTTCTGTCCACATCGGGACTGCTATGGCCGGCACCAACAATTGTTGTATCTGAACTCGAGGCTGCAGGAGTTGCAGAATTCCCTGCGCCGTCACTTGTTGTACCGGCAGCGGGGTCTGCACCTACTGCAGGTCCCGATGGAACCACACTCTGAGGAGGAGTAGAGGTATGGGCCTCAGAGCGAGGACGGATTGCTTTGCAGCATTGAAGGCGGAAGGTAGAGGAAGAGGATTAGGAATCTGGTCCGAATGCAGATTTGCTATCTGCCGCATCTGATCATTGTGCTCTTTGGCCATTTCTGCCATTTCTGCCCGCAATTCACTTATCTCAACAGAAAGTTTCGTGATCTGAACAGGGACATCACTGTAAGTAGCAGTCTGTGAGAGCACGTACATATGCGACTAGCTCCTTCTTGATCTCAGTGTCGGGCAAGGAGGGGACTGTCTTGAAGACAGCCTCATGGTCTGCAACAACGGTTTTCCGCGTCTCCTCCTCGGCTTTCTCTTCCCTCGCCAGTGCCTTGTCGTAGAGAGTTTGGAACAATGGTTTATCCTCTTCTATGGCTGCATCCAGTTGGGCCTTTAAACCACCAGTACACCCGCACCTAAAATCCCGAACCTACCTGCCCACTACGCGCCACTATTTTCCGAGCCTTCTAAGTGAGGGTACCAGCAGTGGGAATTTCGAAACTAGCACTAGTGCCGGCGGTCTGCCTGAAAGAAAAAAAGAAAAAAAAAGAAAAGAAAGGAAGTTTAAGGAACAAACATGCCAGAGAGCAGTGATGTCGTGGAAGGACATCATGGAGGCCATACGCAAATGATCACTTTCCTGAATGCATCTGACCACTATTACGGGGAGAGGGAAACGTTGCTGTTTTTCCTTTTTTTCTCATTTTGTTTTTCTCTTCCTGGCCCTGCCAGCAAGGCAGCGCATTTGCCTCTTGCTCAAAACGCCCTCGCTGAGGGCATACTCACACTAGTGACGTTGAAATGCATCCAACCTCTTTCACGGCCAAAGCCTTGTTGGCCTTTTTTTTTTTTGTTCTTTTTTTGAGAGTCCGACAGTCCTGCTCCCCGTGTTGTACATTCTACTGAAGTGCCCTTACTGAGGGCAAACTTGCACGAGTACTCCAAAAAGTGTATCCAACTCCAATCATGGCCAAAGGCATCGTTTTTTCGAGAGTCCGACAGTCCTGCTCCCCGTGTTCTACGTTCTGCTGAAGAGCCCTCACTGAGGGCAAACTCGCACGAGTACTCCAAAAAGTGTATCCAACCGCAATCACGGCCAAAGCTTGTTTTGTTTTTTGGGACTTACGGATTTGAGATGGGCCCAAAAATTTGAAAACCTTCTGACGCTCCGACCCTGCCCCGAGCCCGCCTTTTACTTCTTGCGGCGAGTTATTTTGCTGCAAAGCTGAGGGCGTGTACTGATGGTTTAAGGCCACAGAAAGCTTTACATCGCCCATTTCCGCAAGTCCCTCAAGACGGGTGCTCTCACTCTCTCTTCTCTCTCTCTCGTCCTTTTGTCCACGAGTCTCTACGGGCATCAAAATATGAACTCGAGAAAAGAAACAAACCGAAAAGCTCAACAGAGCAGCAAAAAATAAAAAAGCAATTTCGCATGAGGTATGATCCAGCGACTCAGTCTGATCAGACTGCATACGAGATCCCCTCGAGTCCAGTCTGACCAGTTCCGTGACAGTACAGCAAATCAGACAACGAGTGACTATATGCAACAATGGAGAATTGACTGGTGTACAAGGTGTGAGTCAAGCCACGCACGGTGCTTCTCCGCAGAGATCCCCTCGGCAGTGGGTATCCTAACCAAAAAGAATAAACTTCGGATCTCGGTCAGGAAGAGCATGAACCAATATCTCCCCAATTTGGGTCCAAGGGGCCCTTCTTACTTGGGCCGGGTCACACTGGGGGTCCCACGTAGGTCGTGACCTGGTCCCAACCAAGAGGAGTCCCACATGGACTCAATTTCTGCCTCTACTGTACTGAAAAACGAATTTCAACTTCTGGCAGAACCTACAGACTACAGCCGTTCAAAGATGAAAAGACAAAGCACTGTAGAGGCATTCAAATCAAGATACTTCATTTGTCCATCCATCAGGTGAGTAAGTAGTTCACACATTGAATCACACAATCAAGACCACAGAGGAGTAGGAAAGAAACCAGGAATAACCCCAACATGACAATCAATACCATGCACACATACATGGGCGTCCCGTAGGTGCACAACACTTACCTGAGTGGCCTGAGCTTCAAGACGAATAGTACTCACCCCCCTCTCATATGATCCTCCTGACCCCTGTCACTCTACCCCTACACGAGTGTCCTATCTCCTAGGAGGGTCTGACTCCAATACCCAAGTGCAGCGCCGGGTCCCCCGCTGATGCTGAAGAACAAAGTCGCAACTTGCAGTCTGTGGATGCTGAATGGCCGCTGTCCCTCAAGTTCGCCTACTTGAGGGAAGCCCTTAAGTCGCCAAGTGTCTCCCTTGAATCAGATTCCAGGTGTGAGTGCCTGTCACTGTCGCCTCTCTCAAGTTCCGGGTCACACACACACTCAGGCAGACAGGCACTCAGACAGACATGCAGACCAGCAAGCATGCACACACACTGACTTAGAGAACTCAGTGGCAAGCGGGAAACTCAGCAAGGCATTCAGTCCATGAGCAAAACTCACAAATCAGCTGTGTCTCAGTCCGTCTTCGGTGAGGTCATTACATTACCCTCTTTCTCCCTTTTCACCTACCCTACACCCTCCTTGATCACTTTTACCCTCTTTCCCCCTTTTCACCTACCCAACACCCTTCTTAATCCTTTGTACCCTCTTTCCCCCATTTCACCTACCCTACATCCTTCTTAACCACTTTTCCCCTGTTTCAAGTCTTTCCCCTTTTTTCACCCACCCTATGCTATGCGGCGGAAAAGCACACACATAACATCGTTGCAGTAGTAGCAATTATAGCATTGACCCACTGTCTCTTCATCCAGAAAACACTGGCACACAACCCCAGATAAGCATAATTTGCCAATTTGAAATTCCCAATCAATCCACAGATGCGAATGTCACCACATAACATCGTTGCAGTAGTAGCAATTATAGTATTGACCCACTGTCTCTTCATCCAGAAAACACTGGCACGCAACCCCGGATAAGCATAATTCGCCAATTTGAAATTCCCAATCAATCCACAGATGCGAATGTCAATTTAGAGTCTTCAGACACCCTTCTTAACCAGTTCTACCTTCTTTACCCCTTAAATTTCACCTACGCTACACCTATGGAGCGAAAACGTGCCCAGAGAGCATCAATGCAGTAGCAAGCCATTACATTACAGTACGCCTTGATCTGTATGATAACGGCTTTAGTCCGCATTCTGCCAAGTCTAATATCATAGGTATTTGGGCAATGCCTTGCATATTTGATGTGGCTAAGGTCAAGTGACGAGGCATCAGTATAGATATGTGTGCCCATTAAGATATAGGCCCCGTCAGTACCCGTTATAGCCACCAGTGCTATCGATGCTGTTGTGTTAAGGTCATAGTACGCTCGAGTTAAAGGTTAGCTTGAGTGACATTGTAGTTGTACGTCGGTGCAAAGGTTCATGGGTGGTCGGCTGGTTGAAAGGGTAGATGGTGGATGGTAGGATGTCTAGCTGTGTAGGGTATTTGAATTAAGTAATTTAAGTTCATAACTTCATATAACTTCGAAATAATTCTCTGTTTCTTTAGTCCTCTGCCTGCTTTGCACTGTTTGCAACTTTGCATGTCTGCGAGTTGAATGTGCTTGTTGATTTGCTGTAAGACAGGTGCTCTGCTGCCTGAACTCCGACGTGCAGGGCAGGTGAGTGCCCCACCCCACCCCCACCCACCGCCATCCCCTCCTTTTTCTTTTTCTTTTTTGGTCCGGACATTTTTGACCCCCTGACACCGGTCCAGACTGTCCGGGTCAGGGAATGTCCCAGTGTCCGGTACTGTCCGGATCACAAGAAAGTCCGGAAGACAGTCCTGAATTGTCCGGTGTCCGAGTCCGCGGTTACCATGGTTATATGTTATAACTTATAATATATATATATATATATTCGTCACAAACAGAACTGCCCGGTAAACCGTAGGCAGAGAGAGAGAAGAGGACAACAAACGATATCTATATATATATATATATATATATATATATATATATATATATATTATATAGTCAAACAGAGCTGCCCGTTAAACCGTAGGCAGAGAGGGAGAAGAGGACAACAAAGGAGGGGCTGAGTATATATAGTCAAAAAGAGCTGCCCGGTAAACCGTAGGCAGAGAGAAAGAAGAGGACAACAAACGAGGGGCTGTGACAAACTGTTTCGTCGGAGTTTCACCGACTCATATATTGTCACCGACTCATATATATATAGAGAGAGAGAGAGAAAGAGAGAGAGAGAAACTTGCAGGAAGAAAGAAGAGCAAGTGCTAAGGTTTGATTAAACAGAGGCGTCAAAGCGTTTTACTTTTTCCGCCAGCGCCTTTGTTAGGGTCTTTCTTCCCCACTCATCGGGAACGTGCATCCCAGGCCAACCGATCCACACTGTCTCAAAGTTCTTTTTCACACCTGCGCAAGCACCATAGCAGAGAAAGAGACACATGGCGTACGGCAAGAGTCACAGTGGGAATCACTTCAATAATAACTTCAACCCGCAGCACAATGAGAATCACTTCAATTCACACTTTTTTGTCCGAGACAAGTTATGCATACGCAGCACAAGGCAGTGCAGTTGAATCAGGTCAGATCAGATCCGATCAGACCAGACCAGACGGAACCAGATCAGATCAGATCGGGCCAAGTCTGACCAACCCATATCAGATCCGACCAGACCAGACCAGACCAGAACCCATATCAAATCAGATCAGATCAGATTAGATTATGTCAGGCTGATTGGGATGTGGTTTGACTCAACAAGGCCTATGAAAAGTTCTCCAATATATCTAGCAGAGGCTGTAACAAACAGTTTCAATGAGTTTTTAACTTCCTATTGTTAGTGCCAACTGGCAAAGCTATGTAATCAAAAATATTTGTGGTCAAAGCATAACATACAACATAAAATTTGTTTCCCTTATACCTTTTCTTTTTGCCTTTGAAAGCACAACAGCCTTGAGACATCATCAGGATTTGAACTCAGGCCTGTTCGTCAACAGTTGGATGTGTTACACCATTCAGCCACATGGGGTGTGGGCTATTTTTATACGCATCATTACGATTTTGATCACCACGATTTTGACGGATGTGTGGGACATTTTACAAAATAGCATGTGCCTCTACGACTATGTATAGTCCTTGACAACAGCCTGCTGAACAGTAAGCAGAAAGGGATAAAAAGAGAACCACCAACTAATGATTAAGTCCTAGAGGTCATACATAGAAAAGCAAAAGAAAACGGTGCTGATGCAAAGGGAAGAGACGCAGCAGGGGTAGCCTAAGTTGAACAATCACTTTTTCTAGCTGGGAAAAAAGAATGCAATGTCGTTCAGGACATATGTTAAAACTAACGGCGATACACAGAAGATTAGCATGGCCCCTGTGCAAGGGTGACATGCATAATTGGGGAAATCGTCCACTTATCTTTTATTTTTTGTTTCTTTTTTAACGGAAAGAAGAACGCAAAAGAAGAAGAAAAAAAGAAGAGAAGCAATCCTACAGATTTTCGTTCTTTGCAATCTCCTTCCCCTTTTTTCTCCTTCCACTTTTTCTTTTCTTTCAGTGAAGGATTTTGTTTCCTCTTTCATTCCTCTTTTGCACGCCATGACTAGTGCGAAGGCATCAAAACAGGGAGAGAGCGAGAGAAAACAAAAGAAACAAACATATTTTGCTCCATTTTGTATACCGTTTGTCCCTGGTTTTGCGAATCCTGCACACGCCTCCCCCCTCGCCCCACTCCTTCCACTCCCCACCCAACCCCTTCGCCACCCCTCCACTCCCCCCCCTTCCACCCCACCAGTACAGTCCCCCACACATACCTTTCATTCCTCTACTTTGACGACGTCTGAATACCATTCCTTCCTCATTCGTGACACCATACATCCAGTTCTTTCCTGGTTCAATACAGCATACATCCCGTTTCTTCCTGGTTCAACGCAGCCTGCATACCTTTCATTCGTGGTTCAAGGCAGCGTACATCCGGGTTCGGTCCTGGTTCAATACAGTATACATTATGTATGCTCCTCTGGTTCAATGCGGCCTGCATACCTTTCGCTCCTGGGTCGAGGCAGCATTCATACCATTTGGTTCCTGGTCAGATGCGTCGTATGTACCACTCATTCCTGGTGAGATCTTTTGTACATACTGAATATTCCCAGTTTGAATTTAGCATACATGCCTTTCTTCCTGACCCTTTCCGGCCCAGATACCTCTCTCTCTCTCTCTCTCTCTGACACACACACACACACACACACACACACACGCACACACACACACACAAGTCCCGAAGGGAAAAAGAACAGAGCATTGCCAATCCTCAGTTGTAGCGGTATGCGCGAGGTTCGGGTAAAACTCGTGTATACAAGAAAGACACAGTGAGAGAGATATGTGAGATCGAAGGAGCCTTTCCGTTGAACTTCCTCCTGTACATGGTGTGAGAACTATGTCGTGCTGAGTTGAGATGTGAATTCCCCCGATCTAATATTCCACTCTCCGCATGCCTTCTATTCAGGGTGAGTCTGCCGCCTACCGACCGGTCAGCGGTGGTTCCCACGGCATGGGTTTCACTTCTATAGCCGAACTTATGTGTGAGCTGCCAAACAGACGATGCATAATACATCAATCTATGATCAATGTGTGATCTTCAGCAGGCCATCTTTGCACTACAGTCCTCCCCCAAACATAATGCACCCTCGTCATGACTGCATCAGACCAGTGAGTTCACTTCTATACATTCATGATCAGGGTGTGTTCCGTTCGGGGGGAGAACTCTTTGCTATTGCATCTGCCCTCAAAATGGGGTAGGTTCAGTAGCAGATGTCCTGATGTATGGTCAGTGTACAGATGTTGTACCCCTGCCATCACTCTGTACCCAGAGAGCAGGCCGATCTTGGGTCCACACCATCACAACCCGAAACTTTTTGACAGAATCTGTCCGTATTTCGAGGGCATATGCATCCGCCCCACTTCCGTGGATTTCATATACTGATGATGATGTCCTGATGTATGGCCAGTGTACAGATGTTGTACCCCTGTCATCACTCTGTACCCAGAGAGCAGGCCGATCTTGGGTCCACACCATCACAACCCGAAACTTTTTGACAGAATCTGTCCGTATTTCGAGGGCATATGCATGCGCCCCACTTCCGTGGATTTCACATACTGATGATGACCGCCCCCCCCCCTTTCCAACCTCTTCCCCTCCTGAGCATTGATCATAGTAAATCTCGGTTTGAAGCGGAGAGTTCGTCAAATGTAATTGGGGCAGCTTACTGCACAGCTCGGATGCATCTGACCGTAATAACGTCCAGAGGCAGGATACGCTCGAAGCACATAAGGGGGAGAGAAAAATTGGACCATAATACTCACAGTAAAGAGTATCCCGGATGTATCTGTTCAAAATTGCAGCTTCTCCAGCCGCCGACTGTGATTACGTCTAGAGATGATTTGAGAAAGTCTTAATGCAAGTGTGTCCTTGGGTACACACTTTCATCATGATGCGGGATGTATCTGTATGCAATTACAGCTTTTCCTTCATGCATCTGACGGCCATTACAGACGAGTCCAGAAAGTCCTAGTGCAACTATGCCCTTAAGGCACACCTTGAATGCACATTTGAATCGAACCGGGCCTATTTTTGCTACACCGCAGAAAAGTAATCATGGCAAAAGGAATGCCTGCATTGGCCATCCGGCATCACTCCCCTATTTTTGCTACACCGCAGAAAAGTAATCATGGCAAAAGGAATGCCAGCAATGGTCCTGATACATCCAAAATAGTGGATCGGTCCGAATGAATCTGGTCCATGAAGCAGTTAATATGTGAGGGGAATGTTATGTAGAAGCGAGGCACATGATGGGGAGGGTCACAAAAGGATGCCTCCAGGGGGGGTTCATGAGCGCAGGAAAGATGTCCAAAAAAAAAAAAACAAGAGAGATAACAGCCTTGTCGGCATGAAAGGCGGTGGAGTGGGGCGCGGACCATGAGCACAGGAAACCATAAGGAAAAAGAAAAGAACGACCTCGTCCACCTGCACCGTTCATTTGTCTTTTTCTGTTTTCGTTTTCCATTTTTTGCCCCTTCTTTGTCCCCTTTCCTTTCCCTTCTTCTTTGCCCTCTTTACCCCTTCTCTTTTTTTTTCCCCCCTTTTTTCTTTTTTGACAATCGGTACCGTACATGAGGCGCATCACGTGCACACAAGCTGCACACGTGCACCGATGCGGGCGTACGTGATGCAGCGCATGTACGAAAATAGGGTCTGTTAAAAAAATAGAAAAGGGCAGGCTGTGGTAGCCAAATATGCCGCTCCCTTCTGAAATTCGCAAGTGCACCAAAAAAAAAAAAAATTGGGGCCACATGGTACTCCTCATTGGATCTCGTCCCTTTTCCAAAGGGTCCCCCGCAGAACATTAGCAGGGGTCCTGTGTTCCAGCAGTTATGGGTTACTAACTTACTACTAACACGACAGTAGCTCTCTCGTTTTTCTGTTTTCCCTTTTTTCCTTTTCTTACATGCAGTGGCCTCACTCCACTCATCACCACTTGCGCAAAAGACAAAACATGAGCCATGATAATCACATGCCGAGTTAGAAAGTCAGTAACCCATAACTCCTGAAACACGGACCTGAATTTGAAGCTTCACCATATATGGCTGGCCTGCTATTGCCTTCCTGCAAGCCACACGACTACCCTCTTCATGCCAAGGAGATCCTTGCTAAATTTTGGCAGGGGACTTTATCGACAGGAGTTTGTGAATAATGTGAAAGGGCTCTTTGCTCTCTCTCTCTCTCTCTCTCTCTCTCTCTCGTGTGTATCCCACTGATCAGCGCACCTCACCTATGCACCACAAGTATGATCGGTACCCTTTCCAATTGACTACGCTCCTACACATGCAAGGTTAAAAATCGCCACTTGTCAATACCTGTTATTAAACGTCTTCACCTGCCTAGAAACGTGAGCTGTATTTGGTGCAACTTTCGGTCTAGACACGAAGATAACGACCCTGCGTTCTACAGCGACCGGAGGAAAGCAATTTCTGCCATAAATATTTATTTATTTATTTCTTCTTCTTTCTGTGCAAGAGCCTGTCATTCACAAACCACTTGCTTAGTATCTTTTTTTTTTTCATTTTTTCAACAAGAAAGTTCTAACAACCAAGACAGCCACCGTGGGTATCATCTATGTACATATGTACGATCTTTCTTTTTTCTCTCTTTTTTTTTTAAGGAGCAACGGTCTTGAGAAATCATCCCATCATGGAACTGATCGGTCATGCATTGGTCAGGTCCCACTAGCAAATAGGACTGGGCTAAGTGCCTGAATCTGGACATGTTTTGAGAGGAGATGCAATTTATTCCAATTGATTCGTGATTCCCTGCACTTGTCCACAAACACGTCCAAAGTCAGGCGCTCAATCTA